TATGCTTTCCTCTGCCCGTCTTGTTTATTTGTAAAATTTATCTTTGTTTTTTTAATCTGGGAGGAATTTTATTCCTGAGTATGAGAGGACACTGGAGGAGCATGTGTGACAGCTCCTCACTTCATGGTCATTATCAGATGAGATTCTCAACTTCCCTTGCTGTTTCCATTATTGGGTGAAATAGAACGTTTAAATCAAATGTGCTTGCTTTCATGCCTTCTTATGTCCTTAAAAAGACAGGCGATCATGCTTGGTTAGATGCCACTCTTAAGTTGGGGTGGCACCCCCTGCCCCCAGCCACTGGAGAGAATTGGACATGCAGAAGTGGGAGCCACCAATTATTAGATTGTATAACTCTTTACTTAGTTGGTGACTCCCTCTTTCTCCAGGGAAGCTGTTTCAGTGTTTTTCATATGTGGTTATAGTTAGGCATTTCATTATTCCAACAAATAAAGTGGACAGTCATTAAATGCCATGATTGTGTTTCTCCATTATGCACACTAAGAGAAAGTCAGCGGTATGATTAATGACAGGGACTGTGACCAAAGTATCCAGCGTCTCAAAGCCTCTCCCCTCAGCCTCTCTCTAACCCTCCAACATGTATAGACACTGTATTAAGAATTAAAATAGTTCATATACTTAGACGTATCAGTGAGGTTAGATGTATTAAAAGTAACTCAACATATTTAAAATTAAACATACATCATTTTAACACATTAAATTTAAATTCCCAAGCCAATGACTTGAGAGTGATCAGAGACCTAATTAAATAGTTTTTAGAATTGTCTTTATGACAAAACAGTTGCTGCCCAGAAAGAGTGCTTAGGAGATGGATTTAATTGGCTTGGCTCTTGCTAGGCCACGCTTTCCTGTGTTCCTTGTAAACGACCTCATCTTGTTAAGAGTTGACCATCTCTTCTGTGCATGTGTGACACAGCCCAGGCTCACCTTGTTACCCTACACTGGATGGTCTGACATGCATGCTAGGCTTTATCCCTACAAATGCTTCTAACGCTGAGCTGGCTGGAGCCAGACCTTCCAAATACTTCTGTGACAAATCCTAGTAACCTCGGTACCTTCCATGTGGCTGCTTAGATGTATTTATTTCACTTTAGGACCTTCCGTCACACCCGCCTTCAGATCTACAGAGTGAGGACTGTCCGGCCTTGCTACACGGAGTTTGCCTCTGGTTATATCATTAGGGCACTTCAGATGTCAATGGAGGAAACACAAATTTAAATGGATGAACAGGCTATTTCTTTAGACAGTCTGGGGAGAGCAGATTCGGGGCTGCTTAATTGGTGAGTGCTAAGAACTCTTTGTGAGCCAAGATTATTTGTCCCTGCCCTGTCGAGAAGAGGCTTTGTGTTAAGGCTGGAACCAAGTTGCCATTGGCAACTTCAGGAAGCATTTCCAGGTTTAACCACATCCCAAAGATGAAAAGAACCATTCCATGCTTGTTTATTTCTGGAGAGATACTTTCTTTTTCCCAAGGTGCTTTAGACCCCTAGCATCATGGCCCTTGTCAGACACTGGTCATCGTGAGACATTTGCAGTGACGAGCGTTTGATCACACAGCCTTTGGATTCGAGACGAGGTCTCATTCCCAGCACTTGTGTGGGAGGGTGGACACCTTGGCAGCATTTGGGTTTTATTAGAAACCGGGAAAGTAAAGAGGACGGGCCAACAGAACCTGCCATGCCCCTGTGGGAAGATGAAGCCCAAGATGGAAGCAGGCAGCTTTGGACTCGAGCCCTGAATCAATGTCAGTTTCTTCAGCTGATCTTGATCAAATAGTTCAACTTCCATGAGGCTTAGAGGGTTATTTTTTATTATCTTTAAAGAGGATATAAGTATCTTTTAGGGTTATGAAATGATCAAATAAAAATAACAACAGCACCTATAAAGCAAGAGTTTATAGAGGTCTGGCCTTATTAGGGTTCAACTTAATTTTTATTTTGCATATAATTAACTCTTTCAAGTCCCCATCTTGAGGAAAATAACTTCTAATAACCATCTTCGTTGTTTTGTTGACAAAGGTTTTTCCTCGGAAACAGACAACCCAAGTTCTTGTGAACCTACTCTACCCCATTTTGCTCCCTGCCGGTTGAGAATGAAATGTTTTATTGAGCTTAAATGCCATAAAATTTTAATTTCTAAAATGAAATAATAATGGTTATGTAACCGGTGTCTCACAAAGACAGCGCCATGTTGTGACTGTGAAAACCGCAAATTATGCACAAAGGTGAGAGTCAAATATCCGAGACGGAAAGTGAGTGTTGACTCATCAGGGATTCTGAAATAGACAGGTAGAGGAGGACCCATTGTCACACCATCTCAGCTGACCCAGTTCAGACGGAGCTTCCAAGCACAGCCAGTCCTCAGGTCCATGGTATCCAACTGGAATCGTGAAGTAGCTTTGTAATAAACTCCCGCACTCCTTCACTGAGGAAACTGAATCTGATGGGTTTTCTTAAAATGCTTGAATTTATTCTTGATGAGCTCAAGTTTATTAATGGGAAGGATGTAACGTGTGATGAGTTATGAGGGAAATTTAGAAGCCTACCCAATTGTGTATGAGCTTCGATACCCTTGTTGGTGAGTTCTCTGTTTACATTTTAACTTTGTCAAGGGGCTGGGACTCACCTCTGTTGATTCCCCAGGGCTTAGTGGTATCATGTTTGGGAGTTCAAGGTCCTTATTAAGCCGAACCCCGGCATATGCCCTTGCCAACCAAGCTCCTGTCAGTCTGAACTCAGATTGCAGAGGAGATTCATCTCCCCGTACTGTTCCTCAGCAAGCCATATTCTTTTAGAAACATTGCAGATAGGCTAGCATCATGATTCGTTCAGGCATTTCCCCAGGCATACTAGTTAAGCTGACTCAGAGCCAGAGTTACACATTGCGTCCTCAGGGAGGGAACACCCCTGGCACCTGTTCAGACTGTGGTTATTTCTGTTATCTGTCCTTGTCACTGGCAATGAGCTTCATCACAAGGGCCACCTTAAGAAAAAGTCATCCTTAGAGTTGCCCACATTCAATTCACCCTTTCTCCCAAGTGTGAACGTAGAACATCCAGCCCTCCAGGGTGTATATGGCTTCAAAGAGTGACTTAGTGCTGGCTTTCCAACTTCAGGGACACCCAACATGCAGGGTACTGCAATAATTTAACAGGAAAGAAAAACCTCCAGTCATTTCAAGCTATGATTAATACTTACCGACCATTGGCTCAAGTTGCATGATCACATTATCCTGTTTGTGCCACAGCTTCGATTTTACACAAAGGGATAAGAAACCATTCCTCAACATATCCCATACTGGAAGCGAATGAAAATGAAATGAATGGTGTCATTTGATTGTGGAAAATCTTGAGTCTACAAGGGACTACACTGCCCCTCCCCCTTTGCTTGAACACTCACAACTGTGCACATTTTCAGTGTTCGCTAAGTTCTCAGATGTTGGAAAACAATGAGGGAAGAAGGGCAGACAGGTGCATGGAAGCTCAGCATCCACCCACGCACTGGCCTGTCCTTCCAGCTACACTGAGAATACACAATCAGGAACGATGCCCCCCATTGTGAAGGTGCTTATATTGCAACTAGGAAGGTATGTGTATGAGTCAAACTACAAATGTCATGAGAGGTAGCATGCCATTGAGACCCATCCTTCCTTTAGTTTTCCTCAGTCCTCAGCCTTCTCATGGTGCCTAGGCTTCTGGTCATTAGCTTCTCTCGCCTTTCCCTTTCCACTCTTCAGCACTCACCTGTTTGGGTTTTATTCCTTAGTTGAAAACCAGAACCTCTACTCTGCTAGTGAGAGGATTGTTGCCCTTGGCAAACAACGGAGTTGAGAGATTTAGAGCCTCCCCCCCGCAGCCTTCAGTTTTCATTTAGATAAAACTTTAGTAATGATGACTCCAGGGGTTTGGGTAGGCAAACGCAAGACCCTGAAAAATAATGCTGGAGTCAGATGTGACTACGTTGTCTCTAATTTGGTGGTGAACGGAGTCTGGCTGGCCCAGGCTTGGTGGGCTTGGCTCTGGCAGGCCTTGCCCTCCTCCCTTGCTAAAGCTCATTCGATTACATTCCTAAAGCTGCCACCAAGGTCTGTTCTCTTATCTGGCCACTTCCTCCTCCTGAGGCTGACTACCAAGGTCCAACCATCAAAGTATTGAAGTCCAGCAATCAAAAGCCCCCTTTGGCTCACCTAATTAACACAACTTAATTAAAATTAAACACCTAATCCTAACACAGAATTTCCCCTTTTACCTTTATAAACTGCCATTTTCCTCTGGGTCACATCTGTCTTTTCTCTGTCTAAAGGCAGTCCTTTGTCCCAGGACAAATGTAACTTTTCCCTCCCCTTCTTATATTTTTGGTTGTGAGCCTAGCCTTTAATGGCTGAGCCATCTCTCCAGCCCATTCCCTCCCCTTCTATATCATCCTCTGTCTCAATCTTTGTCCCTTACTGCCTGCTCTCTGACCCTGTGGGGCACATAAATCTCCTTTGTGCTGAGAACTTGGGCTTGGCTGTCCTGAGCCCTTTAATTATCTCTTACAGGTGTCACGTGCAATTTATAACAATCCTTAACCATACAAGATTTTAAGGTTTCAAGAGCATTTTAGTGCATGGTATCGTTAATAGCATTCACAATAAGCCTAAGAAGGCCTCTACACTTTCCCTATACAGACTTACACATCAAGCTCATTGGTGTCTATGACCGTCAGACCCCTTGTGTTTGGTAGGACATTTTCATGGCCTTTTCATCTCTAAACGATGTTTCCCAAGGTGCACAGCTGTGTAATAGGAAGGAATGGAATGGGGGTGGGGAGAGAAGGAGGGAAGACAGAAACGGAAGGAGGAAGAGGAAGGAAGAGAAAAGACGGAGAAAGAGGGGAGAAAGGATGGAAGACGCGTTACACAGGGACAGAGATTACAACGCAGTGGAGGGGAGCTGACTGGGGGGGGGCGGAGCTGGCGGAGGATGCCTTGTCCCAGGAAGGACACCACAAAGTGATGTAAGTGCTATGCCTGCTTGTTTGTTGTTTTCCCCTCAGCCACTATTCTCAAATGTGTCACCAAATGCAGAACTTCCTTTGTCACATTTTCAGGAACTAATAAACCAGAAAGCAGCAAGTAGGCAGACACCTGTAGCTTTGGAGGCCTCGGCTCTCTGTGAGGGCAGCGTGTTTACCGATGGTTAACCAGGCAGTGCCGGCACACGTGATTCATCCTGCTGTTTTGTGATCTTCAGCGCAGGAGGCTTTAGCTCTGAAAGGTAAAATTAGCTTGAAACAGGCTTGCTACATTGTTTATATCTACAAAAAGAACAGATGAAAGGTAGAAATTTCGTGAACTGAGTACTAATCTTTATGAAAACTATTTTCTGGTCACCTCAGGCACCACAAATCACTCACATTTCTTGTTTCTCACATCAATTGTGGAATGTAAATTATAGACCTCAACATTTTATTTGTAGTTTCTTATGTTATTTCTATTTCTCTTCAAGAGAGTTATCTTGATGTTAGGGATATCGCAAGTATTTTCATGAATGGCGGATAATATTAGCAGAATGTTACATAAATTATAATTATAAGGGCTATGGATTTTTTTAAAGGGGCAATTTCCTTCAGGGAAATACTAAATAGAAGTTATGTTTTCTTTTTAAACTGTTTCTATTTTGACAGTTCAGACATACAGCCAATGCACCATGTTTATACTCACCCCTTTGAACCTGTCTTCTTCGCAGATTGTCCCCCGATAGCTGCATCACTGAAATAAAGGACACCTCCATCACCAGCGACCGCTCACAGACGAGCAATCCTCAGGAACAGACGGGGCCTCAATGGCACCTCCTCTGTCCATGATGGCGTGTTGAAGGGTCAGTCCTGTGCAGGTATCTCCTGCTGCTGGCTGTTCAGCATTGCGATGGCCATGATGTATCTGGATGGCACTCTGTCTCTCAGCATCATCTCCTGTGGTGTTCTCTGGGCCTCAGGTCTGACAACACGGATGTCACCTAGCCTCAGCACTGGGACTATGTGTGTCTCTGTATCAACTCCTGTCCTCTTAGGAAGGTTCCTTCCTGCCTCTGCTGAGAACATCGCCAGTGAAGATAGGTTTTCTAGTAAACCCACACGTAGTTGTCTACAGTCGTTTGATCTTATTCATAAAAGATTCCGTGGGGGCTGATCTTGGCTGTCTGTACCTGGAAAAGAGGGCAACTCAATCGAGGAACGTCGTCAGATTGACCTGTGGTTTTCCTGATTGCTGATTGACACAGGAGGGATGGGTGGACCCCACTGTGGGTGATGCTTTCCCTGGGCAGGTGGGCCTGGGCTGCAGAAGGAAGGGGGTGGAATGTGTGCCTGGGAGCAGGCCAGGAGCCAGCTTCCTCCATCTTCTCTGCCTCTGTCCCTGTCCCCAGGCTCCTGTCCCCAGGCTCCTGTGTCTGCCCCCATCCTTGTTTTCAGGCTCTGGTCTTGGCTGCCTTTGATGGTGGGCTGTAACCTATAAGTTAAATAAACACTTTCCCACCCCAGTTTCTTTTAGGCCTGGTGTTTATCGCAGCACTGGAAAAGCAAATGAACAGACTGAATACAATGGAGCCTCTTTCTACTAATGTAGCTGATTTAAATAACTAGAAAAGGCACTGTTTCTTACTAATTTCCCTTGCTGTTCTTTAGAAATGATGAATAATTTAAATGTACTCAAGTCTAAATCTGTCTTAACTTCTATTATCTCAAACTGCCACAAGTATATTTTGTTGAAGAAATATGCTTTTTAAAATCTGCCCCAATGATCTATTGTTTTCAAAATCAGTTTCAACATATGAATTAGCTACTGAATTTCATGATAAAGAAACTCCCTATGAAATTTAGAAAATGTGGAAACTTTCTGGTGATGCCTCAGATATGCAGGAGATGTCCACTTTGGCAAAGTAGAACTTTGAAAATCTACAGTCTCTTGTCTGTCAGTTTGAAGATGGAGGCTTGAAAGGAAATCTAGCAAAACAGTCCCAAATATACATACTCTATGTGTATAAATATTTTAATGGTGGCTTGGAGTCACTAAAAGAACAGTTGGATTTGTTTAAATGTTCTGAAATAATGGACTCATTTCTGTTTTCAATTGTCTTGTAACTGCTTATCTGTGTTTTGCTCTTAGGATGTTTTGTTTTTCTGTTCTTGGAGAAAGCAAAACAGAGTTCATATAATACACTAAGTGGATTATACCAACGTAAAATGCGACTATTTTTAGCACATCTCCATTTTAGGCAACGTGTCTTTTTAATGGTAATTTCCTGTGTGAGATGAAGGGTTCATCCATTTTAAACAAGTCAGGGTTCTACGCTGAGTAAACCAGGGTCACAGACTTCAAAATTATTAGCAGCTAGAACATCTTGAAATCAAACTTCTGGCTGGACACCCACACCATGTGGTAAGGGGTGAATTGTGAAGCCCTCTGGCTTCACTGTGGTATTAGGTCACCTTCGTTTCAGTATAGCTGTGTGACAGGCACACATCTATCAAATGGTGCTATTCCTATTTAGAAGGCCAAAGAACACGCTGCTTCTTTGCTGTTTATTTATTTCAAGTGTTATGGACTGAATTTCATAATTGCTTCCAAGATTTTCCCCTACCTGGAGCCTGAAATCTTACAAGTATGTAAATGAATAACTGTGTTTTGCAGTCCTGTGGCACCCTTTTGTCTGAGAATCTCAGTGTTTACTTAATTTTCTTGATCTCTTCGGGTGTGTGGGAATCTGGATTACTTCTTGTCTGCTTCTTCCTCCTTGAAAAAAGTGTCTTAGCACATAACATCCACCTTTGTTTCAACAGTGCGCTAGCACAGCTCGGCCTGTAGGGAAAGCAGGCTCTTGGCCACCTTTCCCTCAGGACTCAGGATAGACACAACCACTCCCTTCTTGCCTTTGGCGAGGGTAGGAAGGAGAGAGTGAGCGCATGATGACCCTTGAAAGTCTGTGGGAGCTGAGTCTGACACACTTAGTTTCATTTAATGTGTTGCACATTAGGGGTGAAGTCCACTGTCTGAGAGTCTCACACTATTTGCTAATGGTCTGGTAACTTGTACTGCAGCCATAGGGAATCTGGGAAACATGCATTGACTCCACCTTTACTGGCAGTAATCTAACTTTTAATTGCAAACAAGCAACCACAAACTCTGGGGCTGAGTATACCTCTGCATTTACTATCTTCCAGTTCCCCTGTCTTACTCAGGCCAGCTCAGCTGGGTTCTCTGTTCAGACTCTCAGAAGTCTCTATCCCAGGTATTACCTGGGCTGTGCTCTCTTCTGATGTAGGCTAAAAAGTTTTCTCTAAGTCTGTGGAGGTTGTTGGCAGAATCCATTCTTGTGTAGCTGCAGGATGGAGGACAATTGCTTGTCACTGACTATTAGATGGAGATGAGATTCTAGAGAATGCCTCCAGCTTCTTGCAGTATAGACCTTTCAACATGGCTACTTCTCCAAAGTCAGACAGAGAATCAGCATAGCAGAAACACAGGAGATTTTCCCTTGCCCTGTTCTGCCATCACTCCAGGGAATGGGATTGCCTAAGCAGTACATGGTGAGGACAAAACAGAGTCAGGCTGGAGGCCACCCACCCTGTCCCCTGACTTTCTGTGTTAGTTGGAAGCCGCTTGCAATAGAAAAGCCAATTAACTTGTGAATAAAAGCAAAATTAGATTTTTAGGGCTCATGCTTAAAAACAAACAAAACAAATGAAAACTATGAAACTAGAGGAAGCACTCCACGAGTGGGGTGGCAGTTCTTTCTGTCCATCTGAATCCCTTGCCGTTTCTGTCTAACTTTGTGCTATCCAAGGTCTCATTCATGGCTTTTGTCATAGCTTCTCGTTTAAAGTCCCCCTTGACCTTAGAGTGATCCACAGCCAAAATAGGGGAAGGTAAGCAGGCGGGGAAAGTGACTCCAATTTTCACTGCTCCCCTAGTCTTCGTGAATTTCTGTAGGATAGTCCATCTGCTTGGCCGCAGTTTAGTTGGGTATAGCTTGGGGTTGTATACAGCATAGTCATAGACAGCCGAGAGGGAGGTTGAGAATGCATTTTAACTGGAGTTATTGTTGCTCAAAATAAAACAAATGTCCTTTTACTCAGACAGATTAAACGTCAGATGGTAGATTCCTGTCTCTTTAGATTGTCACTGAGAGCTTTGCAACCTTGCGTGGTCTCAATGTAGAACTTCATTCTCAGAATCTTGATTCCCTTAGGGGAGCCTCTAGACTCCCACCGACACGGAAAACATCTCGGACCTTGCTTATGATGGTTCAGGATGTTTTATCATGAAAAGCCCCAGGTGTTGATTTTTCCACTTTGCCAGAATTCCTGACTTGGCAATGCGTCATGGGCCAGTCAATGGTACTTGAGCTGTACCTTGCTTTTAGTAACAGTGCTTATTTTTAAACTTTTTAAATGTGTATGTATGTGTGACTGTGTAGGAATGTGCATGCAAATCCAGGTGGAGACCAGATCTGTCAGATCCCTAGGAGCTGGAGCTACGTGTTGTGAGTTGCCTGACGTGGGTGCTAGGAACCAAACTTTGGGCCTCTGGAAGAGCAGTGCTTGGTCTTAACCGTGGAGCCGTCTCTCCGACCCTGCTTTGCCCTTACCCTGTAGATTCCGAGGTGTGGTCAGCTTCGTGCCTGCTTCCCCTCACTTGGTCATCCGCTGCTTGCTTGGCACGCACTGGCTCTGTTTCACTTTGACAAAGCACTCTAATTTGCATACCTACTACCAAGTCAGTTTGGAGCATATCCTGTTTTCTGCCCCCAGGCCCCAGTTTCTATGAGATTCTGTCACCCACTGCTGGAGCTGACCCGAATGCCAAATACATCTGTCTGCCTGGCATGGTAAGACCTAATCATGTCTTTTCTAGCCTCAGCTATGCTTACAGAAGTTGTCTAGGCCATGGAAGAAGTAGAACAATTCTCAGAATTAGTGCGGCTGTACAATAGGTATTTGGTGATATTTGACTGACAGCTGAAATGGCACTTAAGCAGGGTTGAATGCTGTCTGTACTGTAGGGGAATCTTTTGCTTTTCCTGATATCTGATGGGGGATGTCCCTCTGTATACTGCAAATATGTGTTGTTTTTATTGGTTGATAAATAAAGCTGTTTGGCCAATGGACAGGCAGGATTTAGCTAGCTAGGTGGGAATTCTGAACAAAGAGGCAGGGAAAAGAAAGAAAAGGAGAGACAACAAGAGACTCGGGAATGACTGGTAAGCCAAGACTACATAGAGATACACAAATTAATAGAAATGGGTTAATATTAAGAGAGAGCTAGCCAGTAAGAAGCCTGAGCCATCGGCCGAACAGTTTATCATCCATATCAGCCACTGTGTGTTTGTTTGGGACCAGGCGGGACAGAAACTCCAGTCTACAGATGTCCATCTCTTACACTTGTTAAAGTTGCCTGAAAGCTCCTTCCAACTTGTACTCCCACCGTTGCTTTTGTGGGAGAGGCAGTGCTTGGTGTTGGGGTGCTGCATTTAATAAGAGTAATCTTACACTGATGTCATCTTTGATCTAAGAAGTACACAGACAATGAGCAAGGAAACTAATGACCAAACATGAAAAAAACAAAGAGATGACAAATACTTTGTGGGATGTTGCTGTAAGCCATAGGTGAGAGTGCTCTTGGGAACTCCGGACATTAAAATATATACTGAGACACAGAAAACTGAGAAGGAGCCAGTCATGCATTAGTGAAAGGGTCTTGTTTTGTTTTCTCTTTTACTGCTGAAAATTTGAACCAAATAACTCTTTGTTGTGGGGACCTATCCTGTGCATGGCCAGTTCAGCAGTCTACACTGGTAGAAGCCAGGACTCCGGTCACGACTAAGGTATCTCCTGAGACAGTAACAACTACCCCATGGTAGTCAAGGCTGTTTTGGCTGGGAACCAATGGACGAGCTAGCCTGAGGGCATCTGGATATTTTCAGGCAACAGGAAAAGGAGAGCAGTATTTCCATAGCACAGTATCCAGTGGGAGGCAAAGGCTGTTGCAAAAGGATTGTCAGAGGAAGGAGCTGGTTTTCATTCTAATTCTACTGAGACACTCATGAAAATGTCAAACCATGAGGAGCTCTAATCAGAGTTTTATTTAAAATGACCATTCTTAATGTTATATGGTGATTGGCTATGGGGAAATGGGGAGGCCTGCTCGGTCTGTTGGTCCTCAGTGAAGGTAGGAAAAGGGAGCATTTAAGATGTTTCAGAGGTCCAGTCAATCGCAGTTGTTCAGAGAATGGGTGGGGAGGTGAGAGAGAGGGGAAGAGGACAGAGGGAGACATGGAGAGAGGAGAGGGGAGAGAGAGGGATGGAGAGGAGGGAGAGAAGGGTGGAGAAGATAGAAAGAGGCAGAGGGAGAAAGGGAAAAAGAGAGAGGGAGGAAAGAAGAGGAGGGAGGACGGGAGGTAGGGAAGGAAGGTGGGAGACAAGGAGGTAGGGAGGGAGGGAAAATTATGCTAACCCAGATATTTGTCTTAGGAAAAGTCAT